TGTTTTTTTTATGAAGCAAATTCCAACTTTTGCAACATGATACTCCTATATTTGGGGTGTATATCTCTCTTTTGGGGGAAATGGACCTCCCCAAACAGGGTATTGTACTAAACCTGTAGGTAAATAAGAGAACTAGAACCTTTACTAAGTGGAAGAGTGGGTTGGCAGGGCCTCCACCCAGGACAAGGCCTCTGTGAGGGTATTCTCTTCCTGGAAAATTATCTAATAATTTTTTCAGAGTATTGGGAGCTGAGGAACTACTGCAACCAGCATTACCCTTATGTATTCAGATACATACCAGTATGGAAATATTAGTTTTATATAAGAAAAGATTCGTAACAGCACAGACATCTAATGTACAGGTATAATAAGCAAAGGGCCCAACGACAGTCCTGGTGGAATTGTGCACATATACTTGGGTATGTATAGTTATTAATAAAGATGCCTTCAGATGAATGTTGCAGCAAAGTTCAGTTGCAGGGGGCCCTGAGGATGAGCATGAGCACCCATCCAGATGTTGGAGACCTGAAGACAAGATCAGTGGTGTTGGGGAAATCCTCCAATCATTGTCCAACTATTCTAGAATGGGCTCCTGTCACTTAGGGAGCAGCTCTTGTCTTTCAGTGCTCAGAAGCTGCTCAGCTGTCGGTTAATTACCAGCCACTCGCTGTCTCCACAGTGACTCACCTGGTTCATTAGTCCAGCCTACAGCCAGTCCTTTTTGCTATTTTAGCAGCTTAGCTCATTTCCTCATTGCCCTTGCATGCTTTGTGATCTCCATTGTGTTCCAGCCTGTGTTCCTGTGTACAGTACAATTCGGTCTGGCTAACTTCTCTTCCATTTTCTGTTCCAGATTTTTGATTACGCTGACTTCCAGTTTTCTGACCCTGGCTTGTCTGTTTAACCGCACCAGCATCCAAACTCTGGCTTCTGTTTTGACTATGTTCCTGATTTATTTTATGCTTGCTATTTCATTAAAGGTGCAATTTTAACTGCACTTTGTCTCCTCTTGGTTTATGGTTTCTGACATTACGCAAGGGCCACAAATTCAGAAGATGCAGGCAATCCACCTACTTGTAATATTTTTTCCAGATTGGATGAGCAGGACCACCGTATGGATCACTTTGCCATAGCATTACAAACACTCCTAATTTGAACTGTTCATCTAGATTCTCCTATCCCAGCTGCTCCAGTACAACCAGTGTTGAAAGCCATCCCTGCTGCTGCTCCTATCTCGTTTCAAGCAGCCGCCTCTGATACTACCACTGTAACAGATATGACTGGTTCTGATCTGCTTCCTTGGTGGTTTGGGGGTGATCCAGCTCACTGCAGAAGGTTTCTCAACCAGGTTGGAATATATTTAAGATGCTGCCACAGGCATTTCCTATGGACAGAGGCAAAGTAGGCTTCATTATTTCTCAATATGAAGGTGCAGCGCTTAAAACTAAATATGCAGCGTAAATCTCATCAATAATGTATAGAAATGAGAAGATGCAGCTTTAACAACTGTGCAGCGTGAATAGATTGATAAAATATGCTCAGTATGTAGGTATAGATAAAAACAATTCCAGATCAATCAAGAAAATCAACAAATATAAATGTGCATAAATGTCACCTATAGGTGAGTAAAGTGCAAAAAAAAAAGTCCCAGATGTATTGCCCCCGTGAGGATCCTGTATGATCCCGATAAGCATGCATGGAGAGTTAGTCCAAGTGGCAGATATTCAATGTAACTGAAATGCACACTCACCAGAAGTGCGTGTAAACACGCATTTGAGATATAACCTATCTCAATAGGTATAGTTTAGGTCATCCTCCTCCCAGGTCAGGTCAGGATACTTCCCAGTCACATCTGCATGGAGTACTCAAGGGTCCTTGATGCGTATCACTATAGGGGGTCACCCTTAATGCAGCCTCTGCGAATGTCCCTCATGAATAGGGACCAATAAAGGAGACCACATAGCGTGATACCATAGGGAACTGCACTCTCTCTCCCCCTCTCTGCTATATCTATATGATCATAATTATGGTTCATATATATGTGTATCAAGGGTGGTCCTCACATACACATTTGGTATGTTGTCCCATTGTCCCTAAGGGAAGACTACTACCAGTAGTACAGGCATTAAGGAGATATCCTGCTTTAAGGACTATTCTGCAGGTCTACACCTGTGTATACCTTTCCCCGCCTGTATACTGCCAACAATATGGCGCTGGGATGCGCGCGCACATACCAATGATAGAGGAAGTAATTTTGATCCTCGCGATCCACAGCAAAATGGCGCCAACGCACTGCGCATGCGCCGGTAGTCGGCAAAATGGCGGGCACAACAAGCGCGAGTGCCATTCAACAGTATAAATACAAAGAGCCAGACGTCTCCTGCTGTAAGCTCTGTACCCTATGACTACGTGCATTGCACGAAACGCGTCGGGGGGGCTACAGCAACTAGACGTCTAGCCACCGCTGGTGGCCATCCTGATTTCCCATTATACGGTCAGTGTTTTTCTCTTTACTTTGTCATTGCACTTTTCATTCAATGGAATAAAGTTCCCTATGTTAAAAAAAAACAAAAACGGACAGCAGAGAGGGGGAGAGAGAGTTCAGTTCCCTACGGTATCACGCTGTGTGGTCTCATTTATTGGTCCCTATTCATGAGGGACATTTGCAGAGGCTGCATTAAGGGTGACCCCCTATGTTGATACGCATCAAGGACCCCTGAGTACTCCATGCAGATGTGACTGGGAAGTATCCTGACCTGACCTGGGAGGCGGATGACCTAAACTATACCTATTGAGATAGGTTATATCTCAAATGCGTGTTTACATGCACTTCTGGTGAGTGCGCATTTCAGTTACATTGAATATCTGCCACTTGGACTAACTCTCCACGCATGCTTATCGGGATCATACAGGATCCTCACGTGGGCAATACATCTGGGACTTTTTTTTGCACTTTACTCACCTATTGGTGACATCATTTATGCATTTATATTTGTTGATTTTCTTGATTGATCTGGAATTGTTTTTATCTATACCTACATACTGAGCATATGTTATCAATCTATTCACACTGCACAGTTGTTAAAGCTGCATCTTCTCATTTCTATACATTATTGATGAGATTTACGCTGCATATTTAGTTTTAAGTGCTGCACCTTCATATTGAGATTTACATTGGAAGGTTCTGTTTGGTTGCCTTTTTAGGTGTTTCAGCGGCTATTTTTCTTTCAGATAGCGCTCGCATATTTACTCATTACATATAGGCTTCATTATTTCTTTGCTTTCTGACAAAACCTTGGCTTGGGCAAACCCTCTATGAAAGACAGAAAAAACAGTTGTCCAGAATTACCCTGCATTTGTGGCCTCCTTTAAAAAGGGTATCCCTGCTCGATCCACCTCTGCTACCAAGAGCTTCTTGTCCATTTAACAGAGTACGAGAACTATTGCTATTGAATTCCATACTCTGGCAGCAGAGGTTGGTTGGAACAATGATGCTCTCGTGGCTGCTTTTTCCCAGGGAGTTGCTCCCATTTGCCATTCTCATTAATACCAGACTCCAAAAGAGACCTTCCTTTAAAGAGTGTTTGCTGAAACCTTCTGTACATTTGGCTCCGAACTTTGCATTCCCACCCATACCTTCCTCACCTCCCATGCCTCCTGGACCCGAGTCCTCTAATGAAGTAGAGCCCATGCAGCTGGGCTTCACACATCTCTCCGCCTAACAGAGGGCCTTTAGAAGAAGGGAGATATTGTGTCTTTAATGTGGCCAAGCAGGTCACTTATTGAAGTCTTGTCCAATCCATCCTGGAAGCGCCCGCACATGAGATCCTGAAGGGGACAGACCTTAGGTGGCATCTTTGCATCCCCAGCTATCCTTAAATATAAGCCTCTAGTTCCAGTTACCCTTTCCTGGTCTGAGTTTTCCATCGACACCCAGACACTAATCATTTCTGGGGTTGCAGGCTTGTTCATAGATGGTACCTTCATGCTGAAGCACTCGATACCACTGCAGCCTCGTGCCACCCCACTTGCCATTGAGGCTATTGATGGGAGACATCTACAGCCTGCCCATGTTAACCATGAAACCGCTCCATTGACCATGGCTGTATAGACTCTTCACCATAAAATAATCCAATTCCAAGTCATTTCTTCACCTCATTACCCTGTTGTCATTGGTTATCCATGGTTACAGAAGCACAATCCTTCATTTGATTGGCATAAAGCCAAGGTTCTGTTATGGTCGCCACAATGCACTAATGCTTGTTTTCAGAAAGGGAGTAGGGTCATGTGCACGTCTTCAGTCTCTTCCCAGAGAAATACTGGGAATTCTCTGATGTCTTTGACAAAGGTCAGGCCGGTATTTTGTCACCACATCGGCCTTATGACTGAACAATTGATCTTCAACCTGGTGCCATTTCTCCTCGTGGCCAGGTTTACCCTCTGTGTGTCTTGGAGGATAAGGATAAGGCTATGGAAGAGTATATTGTGGATTCACTATCTCGGGGGTTCATCCGCAAAGCCTCTTTTCCTGCCAGTGCTGAGTTTTTTTTGTGAAAAATTATAGGGGTCTCAGTTGCATTACTAATAAAAATGCTTATCCAATCCCATCGATAATGGAATTATTTACTGCCTCAAGGGAGCAACAGTCTTCAATAGGCTCGATTTGAGAGGGGCATGCAATCTCATGAGGATTAAAGAGGGTGATGAGTAGTAAGCTGTATTTAATACTAGTAGAAAACACTACAGATACCTTGTAATGCCTTTTGGTCTCTGTAACGTTCCTGCAGTTTTCCAGGAATTCATTAACGATGTCTTCCGAGATATGCTGCATCAATGTGTGATGGTTTACCTCGATGATATTCTCATACACTATATTGAAAAAAGTATTGGGGCACCCTTCCAAATCATTGGATTCAAGTGTTCCAATCACCTCCATGGCCACAGGTGTAAAAAATCAAACACCTAGGCATGCTGACTGTTCTAAAAACATTTGTAAAAGAATGGGTCTCTCTAAGGAGCTCAGTGAATTCAAGTGTTGTACTGTGATAGGTTGCCACCTGTGCAATAAGTCTATCCCTGAAATTATGCTACTAAATATTCCATGGTCAACTGTTAGTGGTAATATAACAACATGGAAGCAACTGGAAACAATAGCAAGTCACCAACTTTCTGCAGAATCAATTGCTAAAGACCTCCAAACTTTGTGAGGCCTTCGAATTAGCACAATGGTGATGTAAGGCTTGGATGCAGCTGCTCAGCCATGGGAACCCATTCCATGAAGCTCTCTACGCACTAAGTGCAATGCAAAGCCTCGGATGCAGTGATGTAATGCACTCTGCCACTGGACTCTAGAGCAGTGGAGTCATATTCTCTGGAGTGACAAATCATGCTTCTCTGTCTGGTAATCTGATGGACGTGTCTGGGTTTGGCAGTTGCCAGAAGAATGGTACTTGCCTGACTGCATTGTGCCAAGTATAAATTTTGGTGGAGGGGGATTATGGTGTGGGGTTGATTTTCAGGGGTTGGGCTTGGCCCCTTAGTTCCAGTGAAAGGAATTCTTAAGGCATCAGCATACCAAGACATTTTGGACAATTTCATACTCCCAACTTTGTGGGAACAGTTTGGGGATGGCCCCTTCCTGTTCCAACATGACTGAGCACCAGTGCACAAAGCAAGGTCCATAAAGACATGGATGAATGAGTTTGGGATGGAGGAACTTGACTGGCCTGCACAGAGTCCTGACATCAACCTGATAGAACACCTTTGGGATGAATTAGACCAGAGAGTGCGAGCCAGGCCTTCTCGTCCGACATCAGTACCTGAGCTCACAAACGCGCTTCTGGAAGAATAGTCAAACATTCCCATAGACACACTCTAAACCTTGTGGACCGCCTTCCCAGATGAGTTGAGGCTGTTATAGCTGTAAATGGTGGGCCAACTCAATATTGATTCCTACGGACAAAGACTGGGATGCTATTAAAGTTCATGTGCATGTAAAGGCAGGCGTCCCAATACTTTTGGCAATATAGTGTATATTCAAAATCCCTAGAGAACCACCACACAGATGTCTCCCATGTGCTACGGAGGTTGAGAGAGAACAACATATTTTGCAAGTTGGAAAAGTGCGAGTTTCATCGTGAACAGGTAAAATGTCTGGGTTATGGCCAGGTTTTCGATGGACCCAGAGAAACTGTCTACAGTCTTACAGTGGCCTCGACCCATAGGTCTACATCCTCTACAACACTTTCTTGGTTTCGCCTTTAATTATCGAAAATGAATTCTTAATTTCTCTTGTCTGGTCAAACCCCTGACTGATATGACCAGAAAGGATTCTATTAAATCCTTTAAATTACTCGAGGCCACTTTTGCTGTAGCCTCAGTGCTGGAGCATCCTGAATACTACGATACCCTTCATTCTTGAGGTTGATGCATCTGAAACTGGAGTAGGAGCTCTCCTGTCTCAATGTCCTACCCCTGTGGGTCCTATTCATCCTTGTGGCTACTTTTCTGAAAAATTGCCTCCAGCAGAATGCAATTATGAAATTGGGGACAGAGAATTATTAGCAATCGTTTTAGCTTTTAAAGAATGGAGGCATCTCATCAAGGGTACTACTGTGCCAGTCCTCATTTTTATTGCCCATAAGAATTTCACATTCTTGTGTGAGGCTAAACGCTTATCTTCTAGAAGGGCTTGGTTTGCCCCTTTCCTGTCAAACTTCAATTACAAGGTCTCATTCTTACTCGGTACGAGGTATATAAGGGCAGATGCATTAACGAGGCAGTTTTCCTCCTCTTCCGATATGGAGTCTGTTCCTACTCCTGTGATACCTCCAAACCTAGTTTTGGACACTATTCACACTAGTTTCACTTCACCTTTGGGTGAGAGAATTCTGGCTTCTCAAATCCGTTCCCCTCCCTAAAAAACCTCATGACCACTTTTTTTCCCTGAGAATCTCCACACTGCTTTGCTCCAGATCTACCATTCTTCTAAGGCAGCTGGGCACCCAGGGAAAAATAAACTCAAATGGTCTAAGTCTCAACAATTCTGGTGGCCTAGTCTCTGTGCTGATGGAACTGCCTTTGTAGCTGCTTGTCACGTGTGTCTAAATAAAACACCTTGACACCTTCCAGTAGGCTTTCTACAACCCATACCCAGTAGAGAGAGACCTTGGAGTCACTTGTCTATTGATTTTATTGTGGATTTACCTAACCCCCTGGGCAATACAGTTATTCTTATGGTGGTTGACAGGTTTTCAAAAATTTCACATTACATTCCGCTAAAGTTACCTACTTCCAAAGAGCTGGCATCAATATTCCCTTGGGAGGTCTTTCGGTTACATGGGTTACCTAAAGTTATCATCTCAGACAGGAGTAGCCAGTTTGTGTCCATGTTTTGGCAAACCTTTTTTGCACAGTTGGGTATTCAGCTTTCCTTCTCCTCAGCATACCACTCAGTCCATTGGGGCCACAGAACGGGCCAACCAAGCCTTAGAACAGTTCCTACATTGCTATATTTCAGACCACCATAACAACTGGTCGGACCTGTTACCTTGGGTGGAGTTTGCTCACAATAACACTATCAATGCCACCTCCCGATTATACCCATTTTTATAGCGAACTATGGGTTTAAGCCATCCATGTTGCCTGATATATTCATTCCGCAGGGAATTCCTGTGTTAGAGATACATTTTTGAGAACTCCGTTCCACTTGGGTGCAGATCCAAGAATCCTTGCAACACTCCAGAAAGAGGTACAAACTCCATTCTAACTGCCGACGCCTACCTGCACCATCCTACCAAGTTGGGGGGAGGGTCTGGATGTTTTCCCTTAACCTCTGACTCCATGTTCTGTCATTAAAACTGGTGGCTCGGTATATTGGACCTTTCCACATACTCTGTAGGGATAACCCAGTGGCATACGCATTAGATCTTTCTTTCAACATGTGTATTTCCAACACATTCCATGTTTCCTTATTAAAACCTTTGGTGTGTAACTGCTATACCACCTGGGTATCACACCCTTGCCCCGTTCAGGTTGGCAACCATGAGGATTTTGAGATACAATCTATCATTGACTTCCGTAGGTTTCGTGGACGCATACAATACCTAGTTTACTGGAGGGGTTACGGTCTGGAAGAGCGCTCTTGGGTCTCATCCTCAGAGATACATGCTCCTGCCCTTCTCTGTGCTTTCCATTTATGTTTTTTCCTCAAGTCTGGTGCCCCCCTGGGGGGGAGGGGTTGTTAAGGAGGGGATACTGTCAGGGCTGGGCTCCTGCTACCTAATGAGCAGCTCTTTTCTTTCAGTGCTTAGAAGCTGCTGAGCTGTCGTTTAATTACTAGCCACTCATTTTCTCCACAATGACTCATTTGGGTACCATTACCTGCCTCATTAATCCAGTCTACAGCCATCCCTAATTGCTGTTTTAGCAGCTTAGCTCATTTCCTCCTTGCCCTTGCGTGGTCTATTATCTCCAGTGTGTTCCCGCCTGTGTTCCTGTGTACAACTCAATCTAATTGACTTCTCTTTCAGTTCCTGTTCCTGATTTTGATTCCTGACTACGCTAACTTCTGGTGTCCTGACTCTGGCTCATTTGGTTACCCGCACTGGCATCCAAACCCTGGCTTCTGTTTTGACTATGTTCCTAATCTATGTTATGTTTTCTATTTCATTAAAGGTGTGATTTGCAACTGCACTTTCTGTCTCTGCCTGGTTTATGGTTCCTGACACTAGTCTGTGTCTTAGCCCCTAGTAGTTTCTAGTCTGTCTTGCAACCAGACCTCTAACTACCAGAGGTGGCTTTCAGATGTCTAAGCTGGCTCTAGCCCATACCTGAGCAAATTGCAGCCCCAGGGTGACATCTGGCCCTTTTGCTGTCCCTATCCAGCTCTCTGTGCCTTCACCCTATGATACCACACTGCGATAGCGTGCATTTCTTGCAATTGTTTTGCAGCCCCACTGAACTCAATGGGCGGGTTTGACAAGTGGTGTCACTTGTCAAACTCTGCAGCCCAAGTTAAAAATACTGTGGCCACGGCATGTGAATAGCTCCATCCAGCTGTTATTTTACAGTTCAGGTGGGTGGATGTGGCGGTTAAAACCATGGCTCAGCTACCCACTTTCACCACTCAAAAAATTCCCATCAATTATCATCTGTATTAGCTCTTAATACAGATGATATTTTGCACAGAACATCTTGTCTGAATGTTGCTATTACTGTCTGCAGACAGTCCCTATACTAGGATTTACAGAACACAATTTACAAAGCTTATCTTTTTTCAGATGCCCAACACAAAACCGATAGATCAGTGGTTCTTAACCTGGGTTCGATCGAACCCCAGGGGTTCGGTGAGTCAGTCTCGGGGGTTCGGCGGAGGTGACCCACACCCAACTCATATGATTTGTGATGACATGCCCCGCTTGTCCATCATTGGCTGCAGGTGGTCACGCAACATCGCTTAGCCCAGTGGTCGGCAAGCCGCGGCTCTTGTGTGCTGGGCGCCCGCTCCCCTCCCTCCTCTCGGGCGGCAGGGACTCAAATGCAATGATTGGCCAGTCTCGCTGCCACTCACATCCTGATAGCCAGTGATTGGCTGTCAGGATGTGTGTAGGCGGGGCAGCGTGACGAACGTGAGAGGAGCTAGGCTCCTCTCACAGTCCGCCCTGAAGACCGGAACGGCGCGGGAATACAGTGAGAGGAACGCGCGGAGCAAAGGTAAGTGAATTGACACAGGGGGGACTTGGGGACTTAATATGGGGGATGAATTAATATGGGGAATGAATTACTATAGGGGGGATGAATTACTATATGGGGGATGAATTATTATATGGGGGATGAATTACTATATGGGGGATGTATTACTATATGGGGGATGAATTACTATATGGGGGATGTATTACTATGGGGGATGAATTACTATATGGGGGATGAATTACTATATGGGGGATGAATTACTATATGGGGGATGAATTACTATATGGGGGATGAATTACTATGGGGGATGAATTACTATATGGGGGATGAATTACTATGGGGGATGAATTACTATATGGGGGATGAATTACTATAGGGGGGAAGGAATTACTATAATGAATTACTATATGGGGGGATGAATTACTATATGGGGGATGAATTACTATATGGGGGATGAATTACTATGGGGGATGAATTACTATATGGGGGATGATTTTACTATATGGGGGATGAATTACTATGGGGGATGAATTTTCATACCGTTTGTTACAACATATCTTTGCGAGCAATCCTTTTCGAGGATGCTGGACATAAAGACGAAGAAAAGGAACAGACTTTGTTGCCAAAATGACATGAGAGTGGCACTTGCCAAGGTAATGCCGCGCATTTCTGAACTGGCCTCTGAAAGACAACAGCAGAAGTCACACTGATTTGCGGTAAATATTCATTATTTTGTTTTTGTGTGAAAATCATGTTTTAATGGTTTTGTTCTTTGTTCTTAATGGTTTTGTTCATTTTGTGCACCTATGTATAAATATATACCTATGTTTTGAATTTTAAAAATCATATTTTATTTTTCCAATTAAGAAGGGTTCGGTGAATGCGCATATGAAACTGGTGGGGTTCAGTACCTCCAAAAAGGTTAAGAACCACTGCGATAGATGC